ATTTATGCTATACATGCTAGAAGTATGTATATAATTTATATTTGTAAGTATATATATGATATATATGTGTATGTGTGATATATATTGTGTTTTTGTCTATATATATGTATGCATACTATATGATGGATGTATATTGTAGTTTATGAAATGTGCATGTAAGTCTATAATTTTGTGTGTTTGCCAACAGATAGGTTATACATACTATATATATATATTGTATAGACGATAATTATTTTCTTATTATATAATTATTTATATAGTTGTATATATATATAATCATATTTATTAACCCATTGCCGATGAGGAAAATAAAAAAAAAATGGGGAAAAATGCTGCGCCCTCAATTTTTTATATTTTTTTTGTGAAATGGTCACTACACATAGTATGGACTTTTGTCCTTTATTTGATTTCATTCCTTATCTGGTGGTATTTTTATTATAACATTAGAATTACTATAATGTTTGATAAACATTGGTAATAGCCAAAGATAAGATAAGCCTAAATATATTTACGAAAATCCTTCAAAGAAAAGTGTGAACGGATGTGAGATAGTGCTATGTACTCTGTAATTCTGCGCTCATTTGTGACTTAGCTAGCAGGTGTAGTCCCCATTCATTTTATGTTGTAAACAATAATCAAACAAGCTAAACTGACCCTTGGGCATGTCATGGCATGCTTCTTGTCGGCACAAATAGGTATGCAGAGTGTTATTATTATGCCAATTATATATCTAGATATATCATAATATTATATTATATATATATATATATTATATATATATATATATATATATATACAGAAAGTCCCCAACTTACGAACATAATGGGGACCGAGAGGCTGTTTGTAAGTTGATTTGTTGTATGTTGAAAGTCGGGTCTCCATTACCTTTTTTCCCATTGTTTTAAAGTTTTGTTTACATTAAGAATACCTGTAAATAAATCCCAATAAGTACGACATACCTTATACAGTACCCAGACTCTTGAACTATATTCTTGCCCGGGAAATTTGAAGTTTGCTAGCATCTTTCAAACATTTTTTGGACTTTAGTACTTAAAATTTTTTTTTGTGTGTATGGAATGTTCATAAGTAGAATGTTCTTAAGTAGGGGACTATCTGTATAGATACACTACACACACACACACACTATATATATTATATATTTACTATATATATATATATATATATATATATATATGTATCTAATCTAACCTATATCAATATATATATATATATATCCATATATAATAGAATATATATCAATATATATATAAATTATATATCAATCTATAATATAATATATATTCATATATGATAATATATATCAATATATATAAATAGATACATCTTATATAAATATATATCAATATATAATTAAATTATATCAAGATTATAGATTATATCAATATATTATATGCAATATTTATATCAATATATATATTATATATATATATATATATTATATATATCAATGGATCAATATTTTATATATATATATATAGATAGATAATATATATATCAATATATAATATATAGATATATATAATATATATATCAATATATATATATATTGTATATATTAATATAATCTCATATATTATATATACAGTCTTATATGTATAGGTCACGATATATATATATATATCTCAATATTATATATATAATATATATATAATATATAATACTTATCAATATTATCTATATATATCTATATATAGTATCAATTATATATAATGATATATCAATATTATATATATCACTATATATATATATATAATATATATCTATATATATATATATATATCAATATATATATATATATCAATAATTATATATATATATCCTATATATATATATCAATAATATATATATATTTCAATCTATATATCTATATATCAAATTTTATTATATATATATATAATATGTATATATATATTATTATATACATATCAATATCAATATGCAATATATATATATATATAGTAGCTTATATATATTATATATATATATATAATACATATCAATATTCAATATATATATATATTATATATATATATATATAATATATAATATATATATATATCATATCAATTCAATCTCAATTCATATATATCAATCATATACATATATATCAATATTATTTCAATATATATATATATATATTTTTAATTTTATAATATATCTATATATATATTATATATATATATACCAATCTATATATTATAATATATATATATATGTTATATTAGTATATATATATACCCTATATATATATATCATATATATATATATATTTATATATTATATAGAGATAATATTATAACCAATTATATATAATATATATATATATATATAATATATATTATACCAATAGATCTATATATATATATATAATATCTCTATATATTAATATACTCTAATTATATCAATATCATATCGTATATATCTCATATCATATCTATATATCATTATCATATATCTATCTAATCTCTACTATATAGTATCCGAGTATATATATTATATATATATATGAATATCTATAATTATATCAATATATATATATATATATATTATATAATATATATATATCTAGTATCCAGATATATATATAGTATAGATATCAATATATATATATCACTATCTATATTCTATATATAGATCTATATATATATAGATCAATATATTATCAATATATTATATATATATATGTATATATATATATATATATAGCTCATATCTATAACCATATCTATATATATATATATATATATATCTATATATCATATATATATTATCTACAATCTATATATATATATATATATATATATATATCCATATAATATATCTATATTCTATCAATTATGATATATATATATATCTATATACTCTATATAGATATATTATCTATATATATATCAATATATTAATCGTCTCTCCATATATCTCTCTATATATATCTATATCTATATCTATCTCATATCTATATCTATCATATAGACATGATTCATATCCATTATATATTCATAGATCTATATATATCTCATATATATATTACTATATCTATCACGTTCTATAGTATCATATATATTATATCACTATCTCTATCCATCTCATATCTATCTATACTATATATATATTATATATCTCTCTCAATGTATATCAATATATATCTAGATAAATAGCTCTTATTAGTCTATGTATATATATCATCACTCGCCTCAGTGGCCTGCCCTCCCGCCATAAACATGAAAACATCTGTTCACTGTGTCCTCATGTACTGCCAATTTTTGTGCCATCAAGAAAACCAGAGCCTACAGTAATGATTTCTATAATAACTCATGGAGAACATGGTAATCCATTCAGGACATCCTATCACTTCACGGGAGACACTCGTGTCAAGATGATGTCATGCATGGTTGAGCCTGCTTGAAGCTGTGCACGCCAAGCATTGATTCTATAGAGAAAATTTGGGACTTGACACTAATTCTAGTAAATAACTTTTCCTGTAAAAAAAAAAAAAAAAAAAAACTCAGATTTCAGTAACATGGCCTTTGTCTTGACAGATGGTATAATGCTGAGTGAGTCCCAGGCAGAAAGACCAGAGTTGTGGCAGCAGAAGGGCAAAGTTACTTCAGTTGGCTAAGATGTAAAAATCTGATTCATATTTTGTCTGTGAAATATGCAATATCTAATGGAAGTTAATGAATTGTGGATTTGAACAGAGGCATTGAAGAAATCTATTAACTGGTGCTCAAGTGTGATGTTCTTGGAACAAACATTAATTTTTCAGTTCTTAATTTCAGACTGATTTGGCTGAAATTGTTCAAGATTGGCTAATAAAAGCAGTTTCTTCAGCTGAAAGGAGGTAAATATGATAAATGAGATAAAGATATATTAGTTTGTAAATGTCCCTTTGGACACAAGCAATGATAGTGTAATGGTTTTACCCTTTTTTAAAAGGGTGTGATAAAAATGATTTTTCACAGTTTGTTGCAGGATGTTAGCCTTTAAGAATAAATACAGTGGACCACCCTGGGAGGTGAGAGAGTGGTTAAGTAGCTGCCTAGCGCCCCTCGCAAACATTCTTTTGTCGTCTGCACAGAGAGCAGGAAGGTGACCGTATCACGAGAATTAAAGCTGCTTGAGGCCTCCAAAGAATTGGGATTTACGCAATTCATGCTCCTTATCTCAAGGCCACAGGCTGGGATCTAGAATGGAACTTCTATACTGGTTACTGCAGCAAATGACCTGCTCCTTGTCTTTTGAAACTAGTGTTGTCACAAAACAATTAAAGCAAAGAAAAAGGGGTTTTCCACACATTAAAGAGATTGTTATTCTATTTAATGCAGAGGTGAAATTTGTCAAGCTTGCCTTATAATACTTTATTTCTAAGAGGCTTTTTTTCAACATAGTTTATGAAGACTTCTTTTTCCATCACAGCTGAGGAAGCCTTTAATGTTTGAATGACTGTGTTGGCAGTCATGATGGAACAGGACGACAGGGCTCGCCAGGAGAATTTTGCCTCTCCATCATCTCGCACGTGTACCTCCACCTCCGTCCTGACTCCAATGTGTTGATGCCCATAATACGCATCAAAGGTGAGAATGATAAGCTCTCTTTGCTTTGTAGAGAACATTGCAAGCATTGGGTGCATTTTACTTCAGACATTTTGCTTTAATTAGTTTTGTTGCATGGCTCTCTGAAAATTTTACAAACTATGTAGACTAATGATTGTCGCAGTTGTTTTATTGCTCAAATTTTATTATAGGTGTTTTTGGGGGAGTCCGGGTGCATGCACACTGTCATTTATGCCGATCTATAAATATTTAGATGCCTTTATGGTTATCTTAAAAGGGGGGAGATTGTCAGTCTTGAAATACTTCTTTTTTTATGTTTACAACTTTGCCCTCGTGTGGCGCTTGCATCCAGATCCGTAAAAGCAAATTCTGATCAAAGGCTAAAGGAAGGTTTACCCAAAAAAGACTGCTATGATTAGTTAAATTGATTAAAATTTAAAGTCAGGTACATGTATTTGTATATTTACATACAGCTGAAAGCATTTTTCACTAATCTTTTTTCTATCTTAGCCAAAACAAACTATTGATTGCACCACAATATGAAATAATGAGTTGAAAAATCAAAACTGTGTCCAAAAATAATGCTAATTGTCTTTAAAATGAGGATTAGAAGCTCGCCTGTTCAGAGTACAGTGTAGGAATTATGCAAGTGGAATTTGGGACTGTCTTATTATTAGTGCTTATACACTGCTCACTATTTATTGATTTGCTTTTGTCATTCAGAACTTGTTTTGCCTGGCAGTTAGTCAAGCAAAACCTGTAGATAGTTTTGTTTTCTTGGTTGTTTATATGGGGGATGTATGTGTACTCGTAGAAGTTTAGGTCAGGTATGTGCGTGTTTTCTAGCTTTTTGGGGGGTTAGGCATGTGCAAATATTCTGGGTTGTTGGGATGTGTGTGTGTGTGTGTGTGTGTGTGTGTGTGTGTGTGTGTGTGTGTGTGTGTGTGTGTGTGTGTGTGTGTGTGTGTGCGTGTGTGTGTGTGTGTGTGTGAAGACAGTTATGTGTGTATTCTCAGTGGTTTAGAACAGTTATATATATTGTGTTCTTGGTTGATCAAGTCAGTTGTGTGTGTTTTCTTGGTTGCCTAGGTCAGGCACATGTATGATTTATAAATTCAGTGTTGGCTGTTGCATGAAGGAAATGCCACTGGTAGTCTACTTGGTTCTTTTCTCTATAAAGAGATCACTTGAACATAAGAAGCAATACACAGTGAATGAGAATATGTGCAATGAGATTATTACAACAATTATTAATGGTGCATAAATGTAGGGTCTGTATATTATGGTGATTATTAACCCATGAATCTAGATGACAGATGTCTCATCATAAAAAAAATTGGCCAGGGGGCAGGTGACAGGAAAGTACCTTCAAGGAAAAAAAATCTGGCTGAGTGCTGGGATGAAGGGAATGCCCCACAATGGGAAATTGTTGCTGAGTGGCAGATGACGTGAATTCTTGTCATGAGTGCGCAAGACTTTTGGATGGATATGGACTTGGCAGGCCTTCATATCCTGCGACATATCCATCAGTAAACGAGGATGGTGTATACTATCTGTGATCCATTCCTGGGAGAACTCCAGCTCCAACAAGGACACAAAGTCCATAGTTTGGAACTTATTTTTTCCTACCCTTAACTTTGGCAAAGGGTGCGTCATTGAAAAGTAAATACGAAAATATAAGAATAGGACAAAAATGACAGGGCTACTTATTGTTCCTACTGTTGCACTGAGCATAAACTACCTAGAGAGATAATACAGAGTATTTTCAATAAAAGCCATGTTCTATCATCTTGATACAGCAAAACAAATGACAAATTTAGACTCTGAAAATGGTAATACAGCTAAAATGTGTCTCGGGGATCTGAGCATGTAGCACTGCAAAGAGGGGGCAAGGAGTCTTGATACTGCCTGGGAGAGTCCAAAGTAAGGCAAGTGGATTCAATAATGCAGTTATACATACAAAGAATTTGGCATTTTTTTAGAAACGATAAAAGTTCTACACATTGGTTTAACCCAATCGCCTGGATATGTGTCTCATGTAGTATTTGTGAAATTTATTACATAGAGATGACTCCATGTGTGCTCAGCCAGCAAAGAGTCAATCAGTAGGCCATAGGGACTGATCCTGAATTCCACATTCCTTGAATTGGTGGGAAAATGTACTTTTCTTTCTAATTCTTTTGATATCAATACTGTTACTATTGTTATTGATGTTATAATTATTAAATTGTTATTAGAACCTTGGTAACATTAAAGACAATGAAATAATACCAAAGAAACTTAACAAAAATCAAGGAAAAAGGTAAACAGTGAGAGAGTTAGGACTAATTACTGACTCCTTGGTGACTATGCACTTGTAGAGCTATCTATGCATAAAGACAATAAATTAACTTTTATTACAGTGGGCATGACATGTATTCTTGCCATATGTGCCAGTTGGGTTAGTGAAAAAATAGCACTGATTATGCCTGTTTTCCAGTTGCTTTCAGATGCAGTTTTTAACCCAGTGGATCTGGGTGACGGATGAGAAAAGTATGCAGTTATGGAGAAATTTGGCTGACAGCTGGTGACATGAGTATGCTGTCATGGAAAGATGTGGCTGACACCTGGTGTAAGAAATGAATTACTTAAGTGGAGTGCACAAAGCTGCATAGCTCTTGGAGGAAGATTAAAATTGGTTGACACCTAGGAAGGGGTCTCCAGTGAACGAGGGTAGAATGCACCATCTGCGAGCTATGGCTGGAAGTGCCCTGGCTACATGGAGGACACTATTTTCATGCTTATGCAGAAAATGAGATAATAACATAGCAAATAGGATGCAAGATATATGAGCGCCACACACAAGTGTTGATGCCTCCAAGCCACTCGCCTGGAAGAATTGCCACTCAAGTAAGTCCAGTGATCTTACCTCTTCATCCAGTTTATTTTTTCTGTTATTAGTATTATAAAAAACATTAGAATGATCATAATGTAAGGATAGATATAATAAAAAAATGTGCAAAGAGGTTTTCCATGGCAGCCTGTGATCAGTTCATAGAACTTGAAAACTTGAGAGAGCCAGTAGCGCAGTGGGATTCCTGTAAGCACGAAACACTTGTGCAGTGCATGAGTCCACTGGCACACGCTTGAGGGCAAGGCAGAACTTCATCTTACTGGAGACATTGGAGGCCACAGTTGCTGATCTGAATGGCAATCCGGATTTGCAATGTTCCTTGGGGCGCAGGGCTCGGACACTGTTGAGAAGGGACAAGGAACAGTTCATTAGGAATCTTGCTGTGGAGGCTGAAGGCTATTTGTTAGTAAATAATCTTCACCCTGCCTACAAAGTCAGAAGAAAAATGAACTAGGAAGGCGATTAGGAAGAGGTTAGGAAGGCAATCTTCAACTTAAAGGGTGGGAAAGCTGCAGGCATATGAGATATTCCTGTTGAACTGCTAAAGGCAGGGGCGGAATCTACTTCACACCATCTGGCACCATCTGGTTATGTTCCCCCTGACCTGTTGAGGGGTGGATTATCCCTCTCAGGAAAGGGAAAGGGGATCGGGGGGACGATGGCAGTTACCATGGCATTACGCTGCCCAGCATACCAGGCAAGGTCTTTGCCCACATTCTTCTGAAAAGTATCTGTGGCTACTTACTAAGGCAGTCTGGACCAGTCTAGATGTATAAATGTGTATATATATAATATATATATGGTATATATTTTTATGTATATAATATGTATATGGATATATATAACATATATATATATATATATATATATATATATATATATATATATATATATATATATATATATATATATATATATATATATATA